TTGTTTCTTTTTTTTTCTTTTTTTCTTTTTACCATTCCCAATATATTAATCCTATTAATAATGAATTTTTAGTAGTCTAAATTTAAAAAAACGATCCAATTCTCAAAAATACAAAAACATCAATCTTCTTGGGAAGGAGGTGGCTTTCTGGAGGAATTGGGATCCTCTCCTTCGTTTCGGTCCTTCATTCCCTCCTTGCAGGGCCTTCGGGCCCACTTTGAGGCCCAATTTTGATAATCCGAACCGTTCATATTTTTAGATTTATTCAGTATATCATACCTGTAAAAAATCAAGTTGATCGAATATCATAAAGTATGTGTTTGGAAAACTGTTTATTAAAAAATAGTTTGTAGTCCCAATTTTCTGAACACATACTTTCTGATATCCGATCAACTTGATTTTTTACAGGTATAATATACTGAATAAATCTAAAAATATGAACGATTCGGATTATCAAAACTGGGCCTCAAAGTGGACCCGAAAGCCCCTGCAAAGAGGGAATGAAGGAGGGGCTCAATTAGGGGATCTGGACTCTTTCTGGAGCGTCCAATTTAGGGTTTTGTGGGGTCAGTTTGATAATTTCAACTCATTAATTTATAGCGTCTCTTGAGCAAGATATCATAAGGGTTGGACATTGATAATCACATATTAAATAATATTTATTTTTAAAAAAATAAATGATAAATATATATATATTTTTTTTCTTTCAAACAAATGTGGTTTGAAGATATAATTATTAATTTTCTATCAATCATATTTTTTACATAAATATTCTACTCAAAAAATACTTAAATAATTTTGCCCAACTGTATTGTCCAATATAATTCTCATTTTTTATTTTGAAGGGATTAAATTCTCTCCGGTTATAATTAGAGGTGCAAATGAGCAGAACCGAGTCAATCTTTAATATGCTTAGACTTGTTTATTAAGATTTTAATGAGTTCGAGCTTGAGTTCAATAAAAATTAATGAACTGAATTCAAGCCGAGTTGACTTAAGCTTGATTTAAGCTCGAACCTATTCACGAATCTTAACAAGCCAAATAAATTATAAATTTATACTCACATATAAAACTAAAGTAACAATTGAAACTTTAATTATACAATTATATAATACAAGGGCAAATTACATATACCTCCCTCGAGGTTTAGCTAAATTACAAATACCTCCCTGAGATTTTGAAAATTACAGATACCCCCTGAGGTTTATATTTTCATAACAAATTGCCCCTAAAGTTATATTTTCTTAACAATTTGCCCCCTAATTTGTTATGCAAATAGTGTCTTCAGGGGGTATCTGTAATTTCTCAAACCTCAGGGGAGTATCTGTAATTTTGTTAAACCTCGAGGGGGTATATGTGATTTGCCCTATATACAATATATATAAACATATTTAAAAAAGTCAATATTTAACCAAAATAATAATATTGACCACTACTATTATATAAATGTATTATCTATAATTAGCTATTATTTATATATAAATAAATTTAGCTATTATTTACATTTATATTATTTAAATATATAAATAACATATTTATCCTATTTTTATACATATTTTTACATTATTTAATATATAAATAATATATTTATTCTATTATTTAAATTAATGTTAAATGAGCCAACTAACGAGCCGAGTTTTAGTATATTTGGACTTATTTATTAAGATTTTAACGAATTCAAACTTGAACACGATAAAAATTTAATGAACCAAGTTTGAACAAGCTCTTATCGAGTCGAAGCCGTGCCTATTCACAAATGGCTCTATTCATTTGCAACCTTAGTTACAATATCTAACTGAACGGTCCAATCTGGCCCATTTTGGGCCAACCTTGATGATCCAAATCGTTCATTTTATAGGACCCTCTGAAGAGATTATGCATACGAAAAAATCAGATTGACTGAATATTGGGAGCCATTTGATCGATCACATTTGTCTAAAAAATAATTAACAGACAATATAATTTGAAAGTAGTCCATTAATTATTTTTTAGATAAATTTAATCTAATCAAATGGTTTTTGATTTTCGATAGGTATGATCTCCTACAAAAAATTTTACAAAATAAATAATTTAAACTATTAAAACAGACCCAAAATAAACTTAGTGGACTGTCCATTTGAATATCCTAAGGATCCAATCCCTTTCTCATTAACCATTTTTATTAGGAGATTTGGTTAAAAATCTCCTCATAATAAAATTTTAATGCATTAAAGACAAGCATAAAAAGTTTTTCTTAAAAAGTTCAACAAATATCACTATTATCAAAATATTTAACTTTAAAATAATATAAATTTTGATGTAGATGTCGATTTTAAATAAAATTAATATTTTTAAAATTTTCTCATCAAGATCTATCAAATAAGATCCATATTAACTATTAATTATTTTTTTTAAAAAAAAATTATTACCGTTTAAAATGATGTAAACAGTAACAGTACCATTTTACTAGGAATGACAACGGGCCAGGCCAGGCCAAGGAGGGGCCGGGGATTACACTCCTCAACCCCCATCCCCGAAGGTACAAAATTCCCCGTCCCCGCCCCTGATCCCTGACGGGGAACCCAACACCTCCCCTACCCCCACCCCCTAAAGGGTATCGGGTCTCTCCAACCTCGAAAAATCCTCGACAACAAAAAAAAAAAAAAAAAAAAAAAAAAAAAACACACACACAAGATCATTATCAACAACATAGATCATCATCAAACAACAAATCAACAACAAAAAAAAACAAATCAAAAAAAAAAATAACAGATCTCACAGATCTGAGCTAAGGAGGGCGGCGAGGAGATTGGCGAAGGAGATCGGCGGAAGAAGGCAGCGAAGGAGATCAACGGTGGAGATCAACACTGTGAAGAGCACTGTAAGGGACTGAAATAGCGATCAGAGCACTCCATAGCAGCTCTACTCTCTGCTCTCTCTCTGTCTCTCTCTCTCTCCCTCCTCCCCATTTGTCTCACGACGCGAAGCTCTCTCACATCGCCAAAAATGGCGATCAGAGCACTGTGAGTGAGGAATTGAAATCCCTATTTTTCTCACGACGCGAAGCTCTCTCGCATCGCCAAACATTGCGATCAGAGCACTATGAGTAAGAGATTGAAATCAAAGAGATATAAGAGAGAAAGAGAGAGAGAGAGAGAGAGAGAGAGAGAGTAAAGGGAGAAGCGACGACGGCGGTGAGGGAGGAGGGACAGCAATAGTGAGGGAGGAGCAAGCGAGCAGCGGTGAGGGAGCAGCAGTGAGAGAAAGAGGCGATATGTTTTGTGTATGTGGACTTATAACCCTAAACGGAGTCCAACAAATTGAGACACATATATATATAGAGAGAGAGGGTTGCAAACGTAATTTTACTTCGGAAAGAAACGGGACCAGGGACTAGGCTGGGGACGGGCCGGGTCTGGGGCTGTGAAAGCTATCATCGTCCCTCGCCTGAAACTGATCGGGGATTCAATTTTGAATACCATCCCCGGCCCGTTTGGGGTATTTTGGGGGGAAAAATCGCTCCTATCGAGGACAGATGAGCGGATCCCCGTCGGGCAGAGTTCAAATTGTCATTCCTACATGTTATTCTATTTGACAGTAACATGTTGCTCTATCTCACATTAACATGCTACTCTGTTTAACAATTACTCTATTTGACAGTAACATGTTACTTTGGTAATATTATTCAAAAAAGGAAATGAAAAAAAATATATATTTTACTTTATTCTTATTCAATTATGTATTTTCTCTTTAGGAGTTTTATGAGAAAAAATATATTGAACGCTCATTTTGACCAAACAAAAATCCAATAAAAGAGTTTTTGACTAAGGCTAAGTTTGGGAAGTCCCAAATAAGCCAAAAAGTCAAAAAGTTACTCAAAAAACTAAAAAGTTAACACTATTCACCAAAAGTCAACAATTACGGCTGCACAACTCCCAATTCAAATTTTTCTCTACAAATCAATTTTTACAATTTTTTATTACACATTTTTCAATAAAAAGTCAAAAAGTTAACCCAAACATCCATATTTTCAACCTCAATTTTTTAGTCTAAAAAGACAAAAAGTGCACTTTTTTAGTCTTCCCAAACTTGGCCTAAATTTCTCTTTTTATTACCTTTCCACACCAATGAATGAGATTGATCAGAGGATGGTGTCTCAAAAATACCACCGACACACCATAGAAAATTCCTATGCAACTATACTATTATTTGGTTTAGATTGATTTTAAAATTGAGTTTTTAATTTTTATATTTTTAATTATTTTTTTTACATTTTAAGTATTTTTTTTATCTTCAAGTAATAAAATATTTATGAAAAAATATTTAAAATTTTTAATAAATGCATAAAAATACAAAAGTATTAATTTTTTTAACAAATACAAATTTTTAAATGTATTTTGATTAAGTGAATCTAAAAAATAAGAACTTTGCTAAAAATATTTTAAAACATTAACTAAAAACAAAAATAAAAAATAAAAAACATCAAAATAAAACAATAAAAAGAATCTAATTTTGAGAAAATCAGTATAAACCAGACAAGGCACTCGCCAATGGCCTCGTTTTGTGTAATTGTTAAAAGAGATTATAAATTATAACTTAATAGATTATAGGTTTTGATTTTAATCAAAAGCTATTGAATTATAGATTTAAGTTACTAAGTAGTGTTTGTTAAATAAACTGTGAAATAGTTTTTTCAATTAACTTTTATTTTTGTTATTCACTACTTATCTACATTTCTCATAAAAAATAATAATAATATTCTATAGTCCATTTGGGTCTTTTTCTATTTTTAAAAAAATAAAAAATAAAAAAATTTAAGAGTATAACTATAAATTAAAATGTCCACAGCAGAAATTGATAATCAGAAATCATAAGTGAGTAGTTTCTCAGAATCTATTTTTTTGACTTAAACTAAATTGTTAAAATCAAAAACTGTTTGAAATAAGTTTAACCAAATAATTCAAAATAACTTTTCAAAACCAAAATTATAAGTTTGGCTCAAAAAATCAAAACAAGTGGTGTCTGAGTCGCTCTCTCCACTTGTCCTTGTGATATACATACAACACTTACAAACTAGAAAAATGTTTATATGGCAGGAGGGACCAAGAAGGTATCAGCTGCATCAGCGAGGTCTCACACCAGAAAATCCAAGCAAACAACTTCACTCAACCTCTCTCCAAGTGGGTTTCTTTCTTTTTTCTACTCCTTTTCTTATTTTCTTTCTGGGTCCTTTAACTGGTCTTCTGGGTTGTCTTGTACTGATTGATTGATTGCTATATCACTCTGTTTTTTTACCAGATTCTGTAGTGAAATGAACTGGGTTAGATCTTATGAGTCTTTTTGAGGGACTCATCTTTCTAATTCGATGGAAGCAATTGAATTGCTTGTAGATCAACCTGAAGGTTGTTTAGTAATTTGATTCACTTTTTATGTATATCTATTGAGAAAGATTCTAATATGAGCTTAATTGGTTTGAAAAAATTCATTATCTTTACATTAAATTCTATAGATTATGGGTGTTGTTGTTCTTAATAAAAAGAACAAAAAAAATCCATAATATGTCATAGTAACCCATTTAGAAACAGAGTTGTTATGATGGAAAATCTTGACCCAACTAGGGAAGCCTTCTGTAATTCTTGATGTTTTCAGACTGTGTTTGGATCAAGGATTTGAGTTCACATCTTTCAAATCTTTGATCCTTAATAAACACAGTCTCAGTGTCTTTGATCCAAACACAGTCTCAGTGTGTTCGAATTCATGTTGGGAGGAGGATTTGTTAAATTAGTTGTATTGATATCATGATTTATCTGTTAAACTACTCAGATTGATTGCATCAATCCTTATCTGGGAATCAAATGTGCCGTTAACCATGATTCTTGTAACTCACTTGGAGGTTGGGGGTTTGGGGTTTGCCTTTTCGCCCGGTCTTTCCCCTTTTGTTTGGGGTTAGCCACGATTCTTGCATTTCTCGTGTTTGTTGAATTTGTTGTATGCTTGTGATTATTTGATGGGCTTTATTGCATAGTTGAATATCCAGTTTGATACCACCCAAAAAAAAAAAAATCTTAGACTCAGCCATATAGTCTATTTTTGCAAAGGCACAGGGATACAGCCCTGATTTGTATTCATTTTTGTTGTCCCTTTTGTCACTATACCATCCATGAATAGAGCCATGTCAATACTCAATCATTTATTCTATCGTAGATGACCATCTCACGATTCTCATCTATTCTTTATATTGTTTCTACTTGGTGCTTGATGGTTGCTTGGTCTTACTTTCTTGAAGACAGACCTCTTTATGCCTCAATGGGGTCAATAGGCAAATTCTTTAGGAGGATAACCAATTTTTAACATTTAATTCACAATTAATTATGTCTTTCACAATGATATCAACAAAGCGTATCCACACATCAATTGCAAAAGAAGTAATCAAGACAGGCAAGGTGAAGGGTGTGTTTGAGAGAGTTGGTCGAGGCTTTTTTGATCAAATAAATTGAACCCTGATGTTTGTTACCCTTTTGGAACTGAGTGGGATGTGATATTGACTGCTTGTAGAACTCTTACTTCATCAACTTGTGACTACTTTTTTTTCATTTCTTTTTTCCGCTCGAAGTGTAACTGACCAAGTCCTTTACATATCATTTATTTGCTCTTGTTGGTAATATGCTCTCTCTCTCTCTCTCTCTCCAGTAATGATTGTACAGGTAGGAGTGGCACTGTTGGCGGGTCTTCTTGGTTGGGCGTATGTAGCAATAAAACCTCCCCCTCCTAAAGTTTGTGGGACACCAGGTGGTCCTCCTGTTACGTCACCCAGAGTACAACTCAGCGATGGGAGGCATTTGGCCTACAAAGAGAAAGGTGTTCCCAAGGAAGAGGCTAAGTACAAGATCATTGTCATTCATGGCTTCGATAGCTCCAAAGACTTGGATTTAGCTGTTTCTCAAGTACACAAAAATTCTCTCTTCAATTTCTACTGGCATATTTATTTTCCTGTGTTTATGCTCTGCAATTATGGAGCTAGGCATTAGTTTATTGAATTGGTAATAGCTTTTATATACAATTTTTCAGTTTATTTCTAACTTTGCAGGAATTTATAGAGGAACTAGGAATATATTTCCTGTTATTCGACCGAGCAGGTTATGGGGAGAGTGACCCTCATCCAAAACGGTCAGTCAAGGGTGAAGCACTTGATATTCAAGAACTAGCTGACAAGTTAGATATTGGGTCTAAGTTCTATTTGATTGGATTCTCCATGGGAGCATACCCAGTTTGGAGCTGCCTAAAATACATCCCACACAGGCATGATAGTTCTAGATGTTTTCCCTTCTGTTAGGCTGAGTTTGATTCATGGATTTAGGTACGGATTTGGAAAGGAAAAAGAAAAGGCAAGGGAAATGGGGAAAAAAAAATAATTTAAAATATGATTCATTTATGTTTCTCTCACCTATTCCTTTCCTTTTTCAAATTCGTACCTAAATTCATGATTTAAACACAACTTTAATGCCTTGAATGCTAGATTTTCATTTTATACCAAATTTAATTTGCAGGTTGTCAGGAGCTTCCTTAGTCGTTCCATTTGTCCACTACTGGTGGCCTCGTTTTCCTAACAGAGTTGCTGATATATCAAAAAAAGGCATCAAGACGCTGCCTGCGCGAGACCGGTGGACATTTCGAGTCGCACATTATGCCCCTTGGCTGTTTAATTGGTGGATGACTCAAAAATGGTTCCCTAATTTAAGTATTATGACAGGGAACATGGCTGTTTTCTGCGATCCAGATTTAGAGATGTTGAAAATTTTGTCAAGTACCCCCACTGTTGGTCAGGTAACTCTCTCTACTAAATGTTGATGTTATTTGCATCATACTGATAAAGTTCTTTGAATAGTATATCCTCGAGTACAGAAGTAATTATTCTCTATTCCGAGAATTCCATGATGGCTGTGTGCCACCCAATAGCAATAGCAAGGGGCCAAATAATTATGTCCGAAAAAGAAAAGAACATAGTAGACAAGACACAGTGTTATTGGATGGCCTTGGTTACATGACCTACTAGATAATTTCTGCCGTATAGGGCTTTAAAATTTTCATTTTGAATTTAATGTCAAGCTCCCCAACTTTTGAGCCTAGGTAGTGAATCTTTAGTTCATCTTGGGCATATTAAACATATTCTAGCTGCTTCTTGTGTTATGCTTCATAACTGTTTCATAAGAGCCTCTCTTTTAGCAACCTTTTTTATATTTGTTTGGGTAATAAAATGCTTATTTACCCAAAAAAAAAAAAAAGAAAAAAAAAAAGAAAGAGTTAAAAGTTAAAAGTTGAAAGAACGTGAGTTTCTTTCAAACATATATTGTGAAACTTCTAGGAATGTACAACATAAAAAATGCTTCTCTTAGAAACACTATGGGGAAAAACTCATCAAATAAAACATGTTAATGATAATCTATGTTCTTTAGATCATGGCATATATGTTAATCGAGATGTAATTAACCAAGTAAAATTAGAGAGGGTTTTCAGCTGGTGATCCTCAGTGATGTTTCTCTTTTCAGGAAAAGATACAACAACAAGGTATTTATGAATCTCTGTATCGAGACATTTTGGTTGGTTATAGTAAATGGGATTTTGGTCCCTTGGATATAGCCAATCCTTTCCCTAATAATGAGGGCTCAATTCACATTTGGCAAGGCCGTGAGGACAGGATAATTCCATCCCTTATGAATCGCTATATTGCAGAAAAGCTTCCCTGGATTCGCTATCACGAGGTTCCTGATGCTGGGCATTTGATGATGTTCAATAGCACTGTATGTGAACCCATCTTGAGAGAACTTTTTCTTGGATGAGTTCTAGCAACTGTTTTAAGGCATTGCTATGTAGTGGTTTATAGATTAATATGTTGTTTAATATCTCATACAAGCTTATTGGAGTTGTCAGAGTGTTCTGTGCAATTTCAGCTTGTAGTTTATGAGGAGGCATAAATAGTTTAATTAAGTTGAAAAAAAAATTAATTATCTAGAAGCCTAGTAATGAGACATGTTTAGTTTATCAAATTTCGGCTTGAGCACGGTTGTCCCAAATCGGCCCAATAGTTGTTTTATTGTCAACTGTTTTGTTGATTGTATGAATTAATATGAGACAGTTTATGAGTTTAATTCTCATGTGCATAACATAATGAAATTTCTGTGTTTGATGTTGAGACTATGGCAAATGCTTCTAGTTTTAATTTTGTTTGATCCCCAAGTATGCACCACTATGATAGTAATAAGGATAAATTACAAATAGTTTGTTTAAAATACAAATTGTCCTTTATGGTTTTGAAAATTACATCTCGCTTCTTGGCATTTAGAATTTTATAACAATCGGTCCATTTTATTAATAAATATTAAATCAATTAACAGTTTTTAATGATATCAAAAATTTATTTCAATTAATAATTCAGATAATTTTATTATTATATATGAAAATAATTAGAAATTTTATTTTTTTAATTAGTTCTGTTAAATAAAAAATTTTGACAATAAAATATTTGTAATTTTTTAAATTATATTTTAAACAAACATATTTGTAATTTACCTTAGTGGAAACTTGTAAGGTTTGTCTCTTGATCATATAGTTGATTGGACCATATTGTTGCTCCATTTGGGCCTATCACTAGATCCGTAATTATAATTTGGTCAGTTCATCTTCTAGAATTATGTGATAAATCATTCAAGAAAAAACTATAATTAATCTAATAATTGTAATTAATTGATTTAATGCTCAGTGAAATTGACTTAGGTAAGGATGTTGAATGCAGATAATCTTGAGGTGGGATCCAAAACCTCAAATTGAAGGTTTTGTAGACACGAAAAAAAAATTGTTTTCACTTTTCAAAAAACACTTTTTAGAAAATTCTACTTTCTTATTTTCCGTGTTTTTTTGTTTTTACTGAATTTTTTTAATATTTTAAGCAATTTTTTTATTTTTTAGACACACCTAACATAAATACACTTAAAAAGTAAAAAAAATTGTAAAAAAAATCTTTTAAAAATTCACTAAATACCAAAAATACAAAAAAAAATATAAGAATTCAGTAATTTTTTGTATTTTTATGTATTTATTAATTTTTAAAAATATTTTTTCACAAATTTTTTACTTTTTAGATACATCTAAGTATGGTGCATCTAAAAAAGTAAAAAAAAAATGTTTAAAATTTAAAAAATATTCACTAAAAATACAAAAAATACAAAAATTAAAAAAATCAATTTTTAAAAAATTTAATTCAAAAAATTCAAACCAAACAACTGATATTTTTGTATTAGCAATTGATTTGCCTAGTCTGTTGAATTTTCATTATAGTTTGTGCTGAACAAAAAACTTCCCTTTGCTCATGAGAGCAAACTTATCCTTCTCTCATATATAATTGCAAGAAGATAAAAGGAGCAATTTGGATAATTTCCGTTACATTTGGAAAGAAAAAAATTGTATTACATAATCAATCATTGTTAAAATTTCATGTCAATATTCTCATTTTAAAGCTAAAAAAATTAAAGGCATTGTTTAGTTTGTGTTTTGAAATATTATTTCAAAAATAATTTTTGAAGAGAGTTTAGAAAATTTAAAATTTTGTTTGGTTATATATTTTGAAAATCGTTTTGGAATTTTGAATTATTTGATTTTTTTTTTTTGGTATCTGAATAGATGAAGTGTAAGAGAAAAAGTGATTGATTGATGTGTAGTAGAGTGAAAAGTGTTTTGAAATTTTTTTTTTCTTCAAAAGCATGTTTTAAGAAGCAAACCAAACATGTCCAAAGTAAATTATAAAGGACACTTAGATGAGAGGTTAATTTCTAAAAATTATGGACTAATAGACTCAAACTTATTTATTTATTTATTTATTTATTTTTGATTAAAAAGACATTGGTCTGTCCCAAAGGATACATATCTGTCCAAAATTTATCTATCTGCCTATTTGTTTATATGTCATCTATCTGTACACGTGTCACTTATCTGTTCAAATGCCACATATCTGTACACTTGTAATCTATCTGTTCACTTTTCTTTCCATTTCACCGCCACCCGTTGTTGCCACTAGCCACCGACAACTTTTTCAACCAATTTTTTAGTAACTTTTCAATGCATGTCTTTATCAAGTAAAAAAAATTAAACCTTAGATCAAATAACATATAGGTGTAGACTTTTCACTAATTAATCTAATTTTAAACTCAAATTAATGCAACTATTATAAATTATAATATATTTTTTTGATTCATAAAATGGTAAAAAATTAAACCTTAGATGAAATAACATACAGGTGTAGACTTTTCACTAATTAATCTAATTTGAAACTCAAATTAATGCAACTGTTATAAATTATAATTTTTTTTATAAATAAAATGGATGTGCAGATAGACTACTCGACACATCTGCTAGGAATCATTACTCATTAATACCCACTGACATCTATCAAAATCAACACCGTACCTACGACGAGGTCAAAGCTAAGGTTCCAGCATACGCTGGACATTAAGGCCTCGTTTGGGAACATGCTATTTTAGTAATTTTTTACTTTTTTTTGTTAAAATATTAGTATGTTTAGGATAATTTTTTAGAAGTAGTTTTTTATGAAAAGATATGCAAAAAGTAGAGAGAAAAAAAATTTGATTTTTTTTTTTTTTTTTACATAATTTGTTGGTTTCTAGTTTTTTCTAATGACTCTTGACTTATAGGTAAAAAAGTGATGTTCCCAAACGAGACCTAAGAAATAGGTGTAACCCCAATATTCCGTTATGGAAGAGACTTGGACTCAGGCGTTGAGCGAGGTGAATAAGCTCTTTACCATTGAACTAACAGATTATTAGTATAAATTATAAATTTTTTATTTTAATAATGCTACAAATATTGTTCTTGAATTATTTTTTATTTGGATAAATTACAAATACATCCCCTGAAATTTACTTAAAGTATAAATTGTTACTTGTAGTTTGAAAAATTATAAATACCCCCTTGCTAAAAAAATTTATTTAATAGAATTAACTAAAAAAATAAAATTTATAATTGCTCTCCTATACAATAATAAAATTACCTAAATTATTAATTGAAACATATTTCGAACATCATTAAAAACAATTATAATTTATTAATAAAAGAGACAATTAGTTATAAAATTAAAAATCTTAAAGATAAAATATAATTTTCTAAATTACAAAAAATAATTCATATTTTAATTAAATCGTAAAGGGTCTATTTATAATTTACCCTTTTAAGCTGCGTTTGGTAGAGTTTTGTAAATGTGATTTGAGAATTGAGTTGTATTTTGAGTTTGTGAGTTTTTTAATTATGATTTGAGTGTAGAAAATTTGTTTGGTTATGATTTTTGAATAGAGTGTTGAAATGAGATTTGAATTGAAGTTGGAATTAAGATTTGACAGTTTGATGTGATATGTAAAAGAAGAAAATGTGTTTAGTTATGAATTTTGGAAATAGTTTTCAAACTGTAATTCAAATTATTATAACCCATAATCAAACACATAACTCGTAACTGTATTGAGCTTATTAGTCAACATTCATTACCAAACTCTTTTTTCAATACAAATCAATAAATCAATTAATAATTTTGCTCCCAATTCTTAATTCGTTTTAATAAAAAAAAAAAATTGAATGAAAATTTTGTTCATATAATTTTCTCCGCATAAATTTTTTATTCAAATAATTATGACCCAATTCTTTTTTTCCTGTTAATTTTTTTTTTTTCATTTCAATTTATGTTTTAAATTAATTTATTTTCCAATTACACTTCGTCCTCCTCTATATATACTTCGTCCTCCTCCACCAAGGCAGCACCAAATACACTTCCTGCTCCTGAACCAAGGCACCAGCCAACATACAAGATCAACATAATTGATATTCCCTCCCAACATAATCTCTATCCACCAAACATTTAAACTTCTGCCTTCAAAACACTTATATCCATTGGACGTCTGACTGAGCAAGGCAACAACACAACTAGCAAGGCGGCAACAGAGGGCAGCAGCCGAATACAGCAGTAGGGGGCCGTCCGGTGGGTTGACCGGTGGGTCAACCGGTTGGTTGACTGGCTGGTCAACTGGTTTCTGTATTTTATTTTATTTTTTTCTTTCCTTGTAGTATCCATATCTCACTTCATACCAATTTAGCTTATTACATTGCATTTATTAACCTTAGTTAGTCACTTATTAACTTTAGTTAGTCACTTTATAATTCAAAATTAGATAATGCTTTTTAGAATTGTGTGCTGCAGAGAAACAGGAAGAAATCGTTGCCAAATAATCAACAAAGTTGTATTTTGAATTGTGTGTTAGAATTATGATTTAAGCTTTGTATCCAAACATGAAGTGCAAAACGTGATATGAAAATATAATTCCAGAACACTTATCAGGATCCACTTTGTAAAATAAATTGATGTATATTATTGATGGATTTGTTACAAGATTGGTTGTTTATTACAATTGGTGAGGGGTGCATTATATAGGAGAGATATAGGTGTAGTAGGTGAAGTGTAGTGGAGGTGGTAGGTAAGGGGAGTAGGTGAGGTGGTAAATTCTAACAGCCCCCCGCAAACTCAAGGAGGATAGGAACTAACCAACTTGAGTTTGGAGAGAGTTACAAAACAAGAAAATACATAAAAATAAGAAAAGATAGGGAACACTGTATGGTCGTGTCAGACCGTTGGTGAAGACTCGGAAAGGTGGTGCCATAACGTGGTAGAGGACACTGGATGGTGGTGTCATAACATTGTAGAGGACACTGATGATGGTGCCATAACGGTGTAGAGGACGCTGAAGGGGGTGTCATAACATTGTAGAGGACACTGATGGTGGTGCCATAACGGTGTAGATGACACTGAAGGGGGTGTCATAACGGTGTAGAGGACACTGGATGCTAACCGGAATCAATGTCGAGACAGTTTATAGGGTCATGTCGGACCGTTGGAGATGCTAACCGGAATCAAATGTCGGGACAGTTTATAGGGTCATGTCGGACCGTTGGAAAAGCTGCACCCTCAAAAGGTGTGCCCAATGTTGTCAAAAGGCGTGCCATCAAAAGGCGTGCCCAATTCATCAAAAGGTGTGCCGAACATGATGGCGAGGCACTTGAGTGCCTTGGTTGGCGTGCCCGTTTGTCGTCTGGCGGCAAGGGGCGCGCGATGCGCGTGGCTGCCTTGGCTATATAACCTAGACGAA